TTTCAACCACGATATGAATTAAAGATCGATCTAATTACAATCTCTAGTATCATTCTTTATAATAGGAAACTTCGATCGTCTTTCACACAAATATCATTTCCGTTGAAAACTTCCGGATATACGCTAATACTTGTATATAAAATGATTACGTTTTATTTTTTTATTTGATTTTACATGCGTGTTTACTTGTTTTAAATTCGCACCTAATCAAATTTAAACAATAATTTTGTAATATATTTTTTAACATTTTCTCGAGACTTTCATTACTTTCACGAAAATATTTATGTAATTTAATTAGAATCTGGAATTTAATATTACTACGAATTAACAGATAGGACGATACAAAAAGACACAGAAATATACAAAGATGCCTTCGAAATATTTATCAGTCGGAAAGAAAATAATTACATCAACTATTGAAATGCCTCGAATCCCATCAAGATAATGCGTATACAGAAGCGAAATGAAAATTTCACAAAATAAGAGTTAAAAATCGATTTAAAATTCCTAAACCGTAAAATACTTAATTTTCTTAAAACAGGAAAACAATTTTATACAAATTCCTTTTCAATTAATATATTTTAACGTCCATTTTTTTAGTGATTTTTCACAACAAAAAATAGATGTATTATTTAAGATTAAGTAATATGAATGATCGTTTCAGCTAAAAGCTAATGACAGCTAACGAGTTCAAAACATTCGACAGATAATTTAATCTGTCGAATGTTTTGAACTCCAAATCTCTCAGATTTAATGATTTATACAGCCGAAAATATAAACATTTTGAATTGTATAAACATTTATACGAGATGCGCTGTTATTTATCACTGATCTTTGACTTTTAGAGTAACTGCACTGTACCTCTTTAACATTAAAATGTAAAGCTTAAACGTGCAATTTTCTTTTCGGTAATTTCTGCTTGGTTTTCAACGGAGAAAGTTTCGAAATAATTGTTGCGAAAACGCAATAAAAAAATAGACAGGCTAAAGTTTTGTAATTTTCTCAAATTACTCCTTTCAAATTAATAAGGAAAAAATTACTAAAATAACATTTTTTATCGATCGTAGTTTATCATCGTTAATACTTGTTGAATGCATAAAAATCTTTACAGAATGTCTAGAAACGTGGCATCGTCTCATGCCAAGTTGTTTATATCTGAAAATTATTAACAACATACATGGACTACGCCCCCACATTTTATTTCGAAGAAAATATCATTTTCGGCGAATATCATAGATATCTTTAGCTAAATCACAAATATTTTGTTAAGATGAAAGTCATTAGTCTGTTCTCTGTAAGTAAGATTACACCCGTGAGGTATTTTAGTCTATTCATATCGAGACTGAAGTATGAGATTTTTTTGTCATGGGGTTCTTCGTTTTCCCCGTAGCGTAGGTAACTTTGTAACACCAAAAGAAAAACTCATTGGGAACTATTTTTTTTTATTTCGTTCACGAATAATAGAGAACTTCTTAAGCTTGATTCACATCATGAGACAAAAGTCGTTACGATAATAGTTTCTGACATCAAGCAGCGAATGATGTGTTTAGACTACGTGATTTTATCAGACGATTAACTGGAAACGAACTACTTTTACATCTAGAAACTTACAAAATACTTATTTTACACTCATTTCAATTCAAAAATATCATTTCAATTAATTAAAGAAATAAATTTCCATTTCAATTTTCACTTTATACCATAAACTTCTGGTAAACAACTAACTTCATTCAATAACTCAATCTCGCGATTAAGGGTTTTTTTTTGGTTTGGTTTTTTTTACCGTGCTATAAACAGAAACATGGCGAATGATACTAAATGAATGGCAATAAATCACATAGTTTACAATTTAATGTTAATTTCCGAACCACAAATGATACAATGAAGTTAATTGGTTCCACATTATAAATGATGAAAAACAAATTTGGAATAAGACTTGTTTTATTATTTACCAACAATTTCAGAACGTAAAATAAACTTAGCTTAGTGTTTTACATTTCTTTGTGTTTGTTTTGTTAGATTTTACATAATTCCACATCAGTTTTCATACAAATAAAGAGTTTTCAAAATCAAAAGATATGAACAAAATTTATTCTTTGTCCAGAGAAGCGTGGTCTTTTGCGTCAAAAATTTCTATTTTTTTAAATTTTATGTATAAATTCAGATTAGTTTTACATAGTGTGGCTTGTATATGATTTTTGGCACAAAAGCTTAAAAAATAAATAAAAGAACAAGTAAGAAGATGGAACAGACGAAAGTCAAGAATTATGAGAAAACATTTCAGATAGAAGCGTAATTGACACGTATTAATTGAAAGCTCAGGTTTTTAATTTTTCTTAAACATTACCGAAAACGAATTTCTTTTCTGTAGTAAAAGATATTAAAAAACGAATTGACGCGAATGACATTTAATTAAACTTACTGACTCGATTATTTTAAAATAAATTTTATTTCGGAAGTTTTATTTGAAAAACTGAGTTTATTAAATATTTCGGAGGATATTTCTTAAAATTCTTTTATTCTTTCCGGCATTAACCAAACCCTGGAGGGATCATGTTAAAAAAGTTTCAGTTTTTATCTGGAAAAGTACTTTGATAGGGAAGGAAAAAAGTAGATTCGAGTTATTATAAAAAAAAGTTTCTCTAAGAGCGCTTTCACGCTTCCCTCGAGGAAAATATGGCGAATGACGCCATTTAATGCCATTCGACAGTTAAAAGAAGTTGGAGATGTTGTTGTTCGAGAGATACAAATAAGGAAACTGTCAAAAATATTACTTAGAAAAAGACGAAAGAAAACTATACTTATGATTTTAAAAAGAAGTTTATGTATTTCATAAATCTTGTGATAAAAAAAAAATAAACTTCTCTTTTTTCGGTAATTATATATCAAATTCTACAAACGAAAAAGTTAAATATTCTGCGACTTTTAATCGAATTTCGTATGCATTTGCATGCCTAAAAGAATTTCGCACAACAAAAATTGATCTTGGATCGTTTATAAACTAAAAATTCTTAGATTCGAGTTTCAAAATTCGAATTTATCCTTTAGTGACAAGTAAGAAGGGAGTTTCGCTTTTTTCTGATCTCAAATCTTCTTCTAACCCAAGTTTAATAATATCGAAGAGGAAACCAATCTGTTATAAATATTAATCAATGGACTCCTGCGAATCGCGTAAACAGAGAAAACGTGTTATTAGTGTATTTATCCAATAAAACCGAATAGTAAACCAATTCTATTTATTGGATTGGTTAGATAAACGATCCGTACACATCTTTACAGAAAATTTCAAATTTTCTGTAAACTTCAGTCCCACATATTTAAAAATACACTTTTACGAAAATTTTACAATAATTAGTGGAGTAAGGTAAAATTTAAGATTTTCTTTAGCGACTGGTGAGATAAATTGCCAGAATACGATCCAAATACCTTTCGTTGGGAAGAATAAAATTGATAATGACCGAACAGCACAGTATTACAAAATACCGTTCGTTATTATTCCTTATAACGACGTTACATCGTTATAAATTTAGTCCATAATTATCCGTAGGAAATCGAACGTGTATTTCCTAGTTGTTTACAGCCTCTTACATCGGAATTGTTTTCGAATTGAAAGCAGAACAATTAAGGTAAAAAATTATTAATTTGAGAATAATTTCGAAATGCAGCACACTGTAAACATCTGGCAGCACGCGTTACGATTTCCTTCAAATAATTATCGATTAAATGTATTAAAAAAACACATTTGTTTAAATTATTTTTCTATGAAAGTTTACACTTTCGGAATAACAGGTTTAATTACTTAGATGAAAGTCAAATATCCAAGCATATTCGTTTAAGCGTTATTTTCTGATTCGCGTGACGCTTTTCATTTACCGATTATTTCGAACCTTGTAAATGTTTTTTTCGTTTTGTGATTTTTTTTTAATTTTTTGGGGGTTGAAAAAATTAATTTTCAACATAATTGTGGGAACAGCCGGGTGGTCGAGGCGGTTAAAAAGTCAGACTAACGCTGTGGTTACCGGTCGGCCCTAGACGAACTCATGATGAGTATGATTAAACATGTCCTCAATGCCTATAGGGTAGAACGAGTATGTATGTGTATAGGCCTATATATTTGTGGGATCATCTTTAGGCCTAAAATATTTCGATAGAAAGACCATTTAGACTGAAAACAAGGAATTTCTGCTCTCCCATTAACATCGATTCCCGCCAAAAAGGAGAAATCAGTATAGGTTATCTTTTAGAATCGCATCGGACACTGGGAAAAGGATAGTCGATAAAATAAGAACGTTAAGGCCAATTTCGTAAGGTTTTGTCGAATTTTGACGTTAAACTATTTTCCGCTTTGTTGTCACTGAGGACAGTGTCTGGAGTGGAGCTTCCTTTGTCCTCAGGACAGTACTCATTTCCAGGAAATTCCGAAGGTAATAATAATATTATTTTATTATTATTTATTATAATTCTTAAGTCAGAAGGATAACATTGTTAAAACTTGTAAATGCAAAAACCAAAGTCCCAAATATTTACAAATCAGAATTTAAACATATTATATCATTGTCGAAATTCGGTAAATTGTAATTAACCACTTTTCATTCAGGGAGAACCGGCACGTTTTTTTAAATAAACCAATCGAAAGGATAAAAGAAACGAAAGGAATTATTGGTAAAATTTTACAACAAACAATCGTTTAGCCTTTGGATAATAAAGCGAAAACAATTTTGTCTGTCGTCGTTAAAATTATAACAGAAAATTAGATTTGATATCGACCATGATGTAACAATTGTATTAAACCAAGATATTGTCTCCATAATAATTCGATACATTTATAGATCATCTCGACGAAACTTAATATAAACGAGTTTTCCTATCTATCCGGAAAAAGAAAAAATTCATTACCTTTCGAGAATTTCGATTATTCTCACAATATGGTCGAATCTTCAAAATACGTAATAATATCGCGATGGATGTTTTTTATTTTAATATTTATTAAAGAAACTTACTTGCACACCGTTTTTAATTCTTCCTCCGTGTGAGCGAAGGCCAAGTCTTGATTGTTCGTCAACACGTTTAGTTCCTGCATGCATCTCTGTAGAGAATTCTCGTCGCAATTCTCGGCATTCACGCTCCAAATATCTGAAAAAGGGGCCAGAAAGGTGCGTTAACATCCTTCGAAATCGACTTTGATGCTAAACAAATATAGAAAAAAAAATAATCAGATTGGAATTTTCATCGATGAAAAACGGTTGCCCGACTAATTATAAATTCAGCTAAACTTGGCTTAGATTGTATTCGCCTCTTCCTGTAATTGGGCAGGAATGTAGATTTTATGGGATTTTTAATAATCAAGATTTCTTTTCCCAAAAATTAACAGCCGAATGGATAATTGTCAATATTTTTCATTAAGCTTAATTTCGATTTCTGGATCGAAGTCAGTGTAGGAGTCGGCGATTTGGAATTAGCCTACCCTCTCCTCGCTCGTTCGACTACCGACTCGATTCTTATATTCTGTTCTAACGAACACTCCAAATGTTTATCCGATAAATACTATAAAAAATTCGGCATACGTTTCATCACAAACGTATAAAAAAATTCAAAACTATTCACTGATTTATGTCTTTTCGTTTGCGTAAGAGCCGAGAAAATAATTCGTGTCTTAAGTTTCTCTGTATATAATAAAGTATCGACCAACATTTGGTGATAGAAAAGAGGAGACGAGATTCCCGGTGTCGGTCGTTTTCAAAAATTGTTTTCATCTTCCGGCTGGAAACGAATTTGGAAAGATTAAAGGAAGGGGAAAATCACGGTTCATTTCCACATTTAATTCTCGAAGAGAAGAAATAACGAAGAGTTTCTTCCTTATTTCGCTTTTTAATTAACCAAGTAATTAAATTTCGCTTTTTTTTTATTTTTATTCTTTCTACTATAAATTTTAAGAGCTAGCGACTCTTAATTTGGGACGTTCTATTTAGTTATTCATCCAAAACCCATGTAAGAAAAACAAATACGATGACGACGTCCATTTGAACTACCTGAAAGAAAAACTTAACTGGAGAATGTCTGATACGACATTCCGGTCGAGAAACATTTCTATAAACATCGGAGCCGAGACGTCTCTCGAAAGCCACCTTTACCTCATCGTAAATACGTTTATTTAAGCCCGAGACGATGATTCATTCCCACACCCCTTCGTTTTACTCTCCATCTATTTATACTTTATGTCTATTTCTAAGCGTTTGAAATTTACGTCCGCGAGAAAAAAGAAAACGAAATACCGTCTTATGGAATGTCTAATACCTTTTTTTTATAAGTCAAGGAAGATTTTGTTAGAAAGTCCAATTAAACTATCCAATCGGTGGTGTTGCGAACGACGGAAAATGAAGACATTTTGTAGCTTCGAAATATTTATATATTTTATATTTTAATGTAAATACCTTCGACCAAATTTTAAAAAATTTTAAAAAATTAATTTAAAAAGAAAGAAAAGCCGGTTCTGATCTTAGGCAACGTCTGTCGAATCCCTTTTCGATTTTATAAGAGACTAATAGATTCGAGTTATTACCGGATAAATTAAGGAAAAGACATTACGAAACGAAACTTCCGCAGTTATTGTCGGACGCTTCTACTTAAGCTTTAATCTCAAAAGATAGTCTTTATAGGGTCGAAATCGACGGAAATACATTCGCTTGTTAAATTTGCCGAAGCGTCGGCAAATTTAATTTCTACACGACGAGAAAATTTCTTCCAGGAATTTTGTTGGAAAAATGCTCTTCGGTGAAATTTACTAAATATCGAAAGACGGAAGAAAATGAAAAGGCGGTAGCCGATGTCTTTACAAATGAGGTTTGACTTTGTCCTGTCTATCGTCACTCGGAATGCGATTTTGTGGCTGGGTTCAAATAAGTATTTCGTTTCCGAGCCAGTCCGACAATGGGGGGGGATGGTCGAACGTGTTTCCACCGATCAAAAATTTCGCTAGAAATCGTCAGTCGTCGTTATCGACGGAGAAAGATGAGCGGAGTACTTGAGAAAAATAAACTATTGATATTTTCGTCCGTAAAAATGGAAGAGACTATCGAGAGTCCTTCGAATAAAATTTTGAGTCTCCCTGTTTATCGATTAGCCTACGCTTTGAATAACGAAGAGGTACTTTAATATTTTTACCTTTTTTTAAATATGCGTTATTAACCTAATAATATTTTAAAGTTGTATAACATAACAATACCAAGCCGGAAACCAATTAAATCTGTTTTTACCAGTAGTTTACGGAGACTGCCATTAAAGCCAGTCGGACATTTCCTCGCGCGTAATGTTTGTTTTTTCGCCAGGAAAGCGAGAAACGGTAAACCGATCGATAGGTTCAAGGTAGAAGATCCTGCTCTTAAAGTCGAAATGTCGCCCTCTTCCACGTTCTCTTCTCGTTCAAGTCGACGACTTAAGGTCTTTTTTTCCGCTAATTCGAAGAACGTGGGGCACGGCACGTTCTTCTCTCACTATTTGTTCTCCCCGCATTTCCAGTTTCTAAATCGTCGAGCTGTCGGGCGAAACTTTTTCGGATTGGCGACATTCTCACCGTCAGAAGATGGCAAAATTTGGTAGAAAAAAAAGTAAAAAAATTTCAGGGAGATTCTTCTGGCGCATTTTTTGTGAGAAAATTAATTTTCTAACCTAGTTCTATTCCGGGAGAGATTATGGGCCAAAGAGCTGTACGAGATTTACTGGAAGTCGCCACCGGAAGTTGAAAAAGTTGGCGACGGCGTCCGAAGTGTTCGTCGCTTCCGGAAATCAAAGATCCGGCGCACTATCGATTACACACGCATCGATTTTCTATTTCTTTGAAATTCTCTCCTGTAAACGTCTTTCATCTTAGGGTGCCGCCGGGTAACGAGCAGTCTCTTGAAGTAGAGACTGCATAAAAAATACTAAGAAAAATGTTAAGAGAAAGAGTAGAAGTCCTAACATATCTACTTTCGACGAGAATGATAAATAATTTAAATCGTTAGTTTTTCATTATCTGAGGTAGAAACTCGTCCATATCGGTCGAGAACCACTCGTCTTTAGTAATAACGTTTGGCCTGTCCAGGCGAAATTATTCGGGAAAGTTCGTTCTCGAATCCGAACGTGACGACCAAAATGAGAATTCCGAAAGACGACTTTCTCTTTTCCTTTACGGAAGGGCTTTTCTAAGATATAAGACTTCGATGAAAAATATCACCGAAAGAGGAAAGGCAATTTAATCGCCACTCGATACTCCATAATCTAATGCTAAACGGTTTCTCGCCAGAAGTAGAAATTGCGTCACTCTTTATCGTCACAAAGCGAAAGATTTTCGATATTTTCGTAGTTTCCATAGCGTTTGATGCATAAAACCCTTCTGAGAAAAATGCCATATAAAAACTTGCTCCAGTTCTTTTTCTTGAAACTCTTCAATACCACTAATACTACATGCTTTTTTGGCATTGGTAAAGAAAAGAATTATTGAGTTTGTTTTTGTTACGTGACTTTATCCTGGAAGACGCGAAATAGAAAGATGCTTTTACCCGTACTCAGGCACGTTCTCTCTTGTTTTTACTCGAATAATTTTAATTTGTCTACGATCGGTTCCGGTTCGAATTTCCTCTTTTGGCATCGTCCGACAAGGGATTATCGAATTCGATTTCCGATTGTATTTTCTTTCCGCCCACCTGTATATAACATAAGCGGACAAACGGAAATTCTCTCTCTCGGTAAGAAGAGGAGAAAGAAAGAGCAGATTCCATCCGTACAGTTTGTTTATCTTCTGACCAGAATTATTTGTACCAGAATGTCGTGGTTGGAAGAGCCGGTGGCCACGTTTTCGTAAGAAATAAAAAATCGTTCCGACCACCGATCGTTTAAAACACTTCTGTAACCAAAATTATTGAGAGTGGAGAGGAACGAATCGAATCGACGTTACGCGTCTCGTAACGAACAAATTCCTATCGTCGCAAACGAGTCACGGCTTTTATACGACGTAAAACATCGATATATTTTATATAACGATTAAGCTGTCTTCGTAACGAAATTTAAATTTCCTGAAAACGACTATTTCAAATTTTATAAACCTAAAGAATAAATAATCGATGACATTTTGAAACGAAGCGCATTCTGCATTTTAATCGTCACGGTCGAACGTCAGTGTCTATACCAAAGGATTTCGTTACTGGGATCGTTACTGGGATTTTCCATTTATGTTAAATAAGAATTAGAAGGAAAAAGTTTTATTCCCCGGGAGAAGACTGTTTAAGGTGGATGACGAATCGTCTTTACAATCTAGACGCTAATTTCTCCCCTCTTCTTCCACACACACACACAAAAAAAAAAGTCGAAGGCTTTTGGTGGAGAGGATTTACCGATAGAGCGAGTCTCGATATCATTAACGCCTATTAATTACCAGCGTGAAAACTTTGTCGAAGCATCCTCGACCAAAGACAGATACAAATTACGGCGTTCACTCATAAGAAATCTTAATGTAGCGATTTCTTTTGTCGAAGGAGCGAAAAGAATCATGTTCTTTCCCCGAGAAAGAATAGTCGCATTCCGAATCCCCAGTTCTTTTAATCGACGTTTTAATTCTCTGAAATGAATATGCCCAGTCAATTTTGTTTCATTCTATTTTGGTTTAAACAAAAGAAAAAGGTTTCTATTCTTTCTAAAAAACGAATTCGCCTCTGATCCCATTAGAAAATATTCCAAAGTTAAAACACTCCAGAGCCTATAATCGATATTCGAATATTTCGGGTGGAGCCCCGATGAAACGAAAGGACGCGAAAAACCGTTGCTAAAAAATTCCAATAGCGTTATTTGACTTTAAAGCTCGTATTTAGCACGAATTTTCCTAAAATGACCATTTAGTTTTCGCCATCATTTAATTAAAATACAGAATCGTGAAATAAAAGATCTTTCGTTTACCATACGATTTTGCGTCCACCGAACAAATTACGACAAAAGAAGCGTTAACCGAATCGTAGCCAAACGTGCATTATTAAATCATCCGAAAAGAAAGAACGGCAGAGGAATGTCCGATGGTGATCTTCGCCTCAACACTTAGAACTTTAGTCTGGATAGACGTATCGAAATGCTTCCTAATTCATCCACTTTATGACATCGTTTCTCTT